AAAGCCTGCCGTGATTGGCTCAGCGCTGAGCCAATCACGGCAGGCTTTTTATTCATTAATACAAAGCCTGTATTAATGAATACAAATGCTGCCGGGATTGGCTCAGCGCAGTATACTGACGGAAGACGGAGGACACAGCGGGGATTGTGGCAAGGTAAGAGACTGTAATCCCGAGTGTGGCTCGGGGTTACTGCTTATGGTACTTAAAATGAACCCCGAGCCACACTCGGGAATACCGCCATGGAGGTTAGTGGGTGTATTCAAACATTATTTTGGGCTATACTCGTCTTATACGACGAGTAAAGCCCAAATATTTTAACACAAAAAGTAGGAGGTCGTCTTATACGCCGAGTCGTCTTATACGCCGGCAAATAAGGTACATTATTTTTACATATTTGTATATATTATATATACTGTGAGTTGTAGGTAAAATAATTTTTAGTATCTGTTTTCTGAGACTCAAAAATTATTATAAGGGTCACTCCATGTTAAAAAGAAAAAACTTATACTAATAGTATGGTAACAATGAAGACATATACAGGGATATTCACTAAAGGGTTAAGAGTTTGGAGAAGGCAGGAGAAGTGAACAATCTAGAACAAAATAGCTGATTTGGAACAATTCTCCAATCCAGCTCACTTTCCGGTTCAGCTATGTTGTCCTAGATTGTTCACTTCTCCTGCCTTCTCCAAACCCTTCACCCTTTAGTGAATAGCACTGATAAAGTTTAGTAATGACACACATAGTATAGCCATTGGAAAACATTGCAAAGGTTTTTCCAAAAAAAGGATGGATAGCTGTATCAGTGTTTTTGACCTGTTAAATTACATTCATTTTTATTAGTTGTACCTCTGTAACCTGAAATTCTTGCAAATGAGATGTTACTGAAAATAAATTAATGAGGCATTCTGTGTTTATCTCAATCAGGCCTGAGCTATTGTCACTTCTGAGAACCTACAATTGCTATCATGAAGGAAAAAATTTCCAGCTACGACATCATGAGGTAAGGGCATAAATATTTTTAGAATACCGGTCTCTTGCACACATAAATACACATAAGGGCATTAGGGCAGCTTCAGCCAAACAGCATATTTGAAGCACATTCCTGAACTGTTTTTACTTGCCAAAAGATTTGGAGCCTAACCCAAATTAGTCTACAGTATATGGCTCTGTAGCATAAAAAAGTAAATGTTTTTGTATTCCTGCATGTATTCCTTATCCCCTATTTAGTAATATTGAACCTCATCACACGGGTGCACCCTGAGCTCCCTCCTGTAAGCCCACAAAAGCACCACCCATCTTGCCCTCACTTTATAGGGTAATTTCAGTTTCAACTATGTGGTACTCTGTATAAATACTTCATGTTAATAAACAAAAGTAGATAATGGAATCAATATGTGGACTGGTGCCTGTTTATATGTAATCACCTGGAGCCCTTTAAGTGTAACTGTACCTTTTGAGAAGCGTACACCCTATGCCGGAGCCCAGCCAGCTCCAATAATTTCAGTGATTTCTCACTGACCAGAAACAAGTATGCAGATCTAGATGTTCTTGGCCTGTGATAATAAATAGTTGAAGCTGGTGACAGACAGGCAACTAGTATTTTGTATGGAAGTCAGCACTAACTGCCTCTGTATTTCTCACAGTACACAAGGTCCAGCTTTCCTTTAAAGCCCAACCCTTAGCAATTAAAAATTAGTCCCCTGGCTGATATGCTCACTTTCTCCAGCTGGCTCCCTGCGTTATTCAAACTGGAAGACTGAGGACATCAAGTGGTTGTAGGGTATCATTGACCAGCCCCCTGTAGGGGCATCACTGTGGCACCCCGCACTCCCAGGGGTTGATTTACTGAAGGCAAATAAGCTGTTCAATTTGCAAGGAAATCTTCCCTTAGCTTAGTAAATGAGGTGAAGCTTGACCTCCATCCTCCAATTATATGCAAGCAAAATATATATGTTTAAAATTTCCTTACGTATTCTTTGAAGAGTGAATGTTTACCTTATTCACCGAGCTAAAGGAAAATTCACTAGCAAAAAGAAATGTATCTTGCAGAGTGAACAGTCAATGCCACAGTGATGCAGAGAGTGGCACTAATGTCATCATATCAGCACCAAACACCAGAGGGGGTCCAAAGTGGAAGAGGACCCTGCATGTTATGTGACCAGCATAAAGAGAAATCTAGAAAATGTAACTGAAGAAGAAACTGTGTCCCTAACCATAATGCCACCATAATCGAATCTAGTTGTATCCCAACCAAACAATTACCAAAACTGTTTCCAGGAAGTAACAATTTTATCATGTAAACTAACAGAACAGCAGATTCAGGAAAATATCCTGGTTATGGAAGAGTCATAGCTGATCAGTATTAATAGTTTCAGTTGTGAGAAACCTTCTACACTTTCTTATTTCAATTTAAAATCAATGATAAGTATTTTTTTTATTAATCCTAAGTATTCAGTGGCTTATGTGGTCCATTTTAAGGGAGGTATCTAACCAGTTGTAGCGTTCAGTGCCCAACATGGTTACAAGATCTCATAACAAAGTAGTACATTGGGTTATAATCTGTCATGTAAGTCACTACAGTGCAGCCTTATCCAACAGTTTTTTGTCCACTTGTCAGCTGCAAGCAATATTAAAAGGGCACTATAAACATGGCTCTGGTCTGCAGTATGAATTTAAAACAGCTGGCAGTTTGGTTAGACCCGCTTTATACAGAATCCTGTTTACGCAAGAGTCTACAACAACTTCAGCAATCCTGGAACATTTTGACTTCCTTCCAGTGGCGTAACCAGAGTTATGGGCGCCCGGGGCAGAACATTTTTTCCGCCCCCCCCATATTATATAAACATCCACTAGAACTGTACCCCCCACCCCCACACATATTTATCAGCTAAGGAACTACAAGTCCAAGCATGCCATCATTGTCCCTGTACACCCCCCCGCACCCCCGGTTGTTACGCCACTGCTTCCTTCTCACCAAAGTGCTTTATGATTAAACTGCTGTGTAACGCAGCAAGGTGTCCCAGGCCTGCTGATGTTGTGGTGTCTCGCCATTTAAAAATACACCTCACAGTAACTGAACTGCTGCACGGAACTACTTTTCCCTTCATCTGGTAATATCACCTTACTTTGTCTCTTTTCTACTTGTTTCTTTGTATATTTGAAGTGTCCCCATCTGTGTGTAAATATAAAAAATTACATTGCTATTATAATTTAAATATTTTGCAACATTATTGGAACATTTTATGTGATAACAACAATAATAATATTAAAAAGCATTTCTTTACAAGGAACAAAAAGAATATTAATATGTGTAATGATTCCTGATGACAACTGAAATTTGATCATTCCCAGAGCTCAGTTCTCCTCCACAAAAATGCTTTTAAGTTTCCCTGGATTTCCTGCATTGTGGATCCATAGCAGCACACTTGTAAAAATACTTTGGTATTGAAAATTAATTTAATAATAAACTCATCAAGAAAAACATTCTTCTCAACTAAAATAAATATTTATTAGTAGTGCAAGTCTGCAGAATTCAGACAGTTAATGTTCCTGTTTAAACTATGTTATCCATAGTCTTAAAAATTATAGTGTTCATTACAGTTCCCAGAATAAATTATAACTCATATATAACCGGTAACTGTGGTTTGTGGAATTTAGTTACTGATCCCCAACTGCCATAACCAGTGGAACGACATTTCTTTTGAAAGCGTGGGTATTTGATTCTTTTTTCTTGTGTACTTTGATGCTCAATGCTTTGACATTTGCTACATTGTAACCTTTTGTTTGTGTCCGCATTTTTATGTAGGTTAACAGTATTAGCAAGTTTAATTTTTTCAGGCAGGGCAGCACGAAATGTCTCCCCACCCTCTTGGTTCTTGTTCCCATTTTGTCTGTACAGCCAAGCCAGTGGGTCAGTTTGTAAAGAGACTAAGCTCCCATGATAGGAGTCCTGTGCCACAGTCAGAACTTTAGGTTCACAAACCTTCAGGGATGATCTGGGTCTAAAACGAGTCCTCCTCTGAGCCCTGCACTGGCCATACTGATTATGATCTGTCAGAGAACTAGGCTGTGCCAGTGTTTGAATGGATTTAACATAATCCTCCAGTCCAGTGTCTGTGTGCACATCTGCAGTTAGCTTTTCGTGTTGAGCTGTCACCTCAATATCCTGACTAATGGTGGGTAGGTGTTCCACTGAAATGAGAAGCTGAGATCTCATTGCTAGAAAGCACAAAAAAGACAATGGTTAATAGATTAATATAGTCATCAGCTGAAATAAATAAAGATACATGGATTCTAATTGCTAGGAACCATGTCAGTGTGTTGGAACAACTGCGGAATTATAAATTGGCATGAAATTACGAATGAAAACATATACATTTGTCTTACTACAGCATTTTATGTAGTATAAAAAAGTAGCAAACAAGAGTATCTTATTAAAATAAGGTTACGGCTTAGATCTACTTGGCTTTAAAAACAGCATATGACATTCTTACCTTATGAGGTGGTGTATTAGGTGTCTGTCTTTAAGTCCGTTGTGCTCCTGGTCAGTCTCGCTCTGATTAATAACTATGGACGTAGTCCTTTTTATAGCTTCTAGCAGCTGTCAGCCACTCAGCTGTATTTCCCAATATAGCATCAGCTTTGAACGTAAGTGAGGATGTGAAGAAGGTGATGTCCCTAC